AACTAGACGTAACTTCTCATGCTGTGGTTTAACTAAATGAAACCAAAGTCACAGCCAGCGTGCTATGCCATCACTCATGGTGGAGGGAGGTCACATGTTTTGTGATTCACACACACACATGTCAGCTCTGTGAGCAGTTCTTTGTGCATTCTTGGGAAACAGGGTCTATATTTAACACTGATGCCGGACAAAAGAACCAAGTGATCTCAGAGATGTAGCACCAGACTTGGGCTTCTGTTCTCATATGAATGCCTCCCAGGCCAGGGCCAGGCCTACTATTAGGCAGGGTGAGGTGAGGCAACCAACCTAGGGTTGCTAACCTCCAGCTGCTGCCTGGAGCCCTCCGGCTATTACAGTTGATCCTCAGAGGACAGAGATCAGTTCCCCTGGAGAAAATGGTTGCTTTGGGAGGTGGACTTCATGGAACTATATACCACTGAGGTCCCTCCCCTTCCCAAGTCCTGCCTTCTCCAGGCTCCGCCTCCCAAAGCTCCAGGTATTTTCCAACTCAGAGCCGGCAACCCTAAACCAACCTCAGAAAGCATCTTTTGGGAATGCAAAATTGCTATATCTTGACCCCAGGAGGGACATTGTGAAGATTCTCTGCCTCAGGGAGCAGTTAACAATACTTGAATGCCGAATCAGGCTTGTATATGTGTGTATATAAAACAAATACAACAACAGATGATTCTCAATAATTTTTATTGTTCTTCTATTCAGTGTTATCTATGTTTACTGTTTAAAACTCGGCAGTAAAACGCTGGCGCCTAGCAGCAGTCAGCAGACATAACAATAAGGAACAAAAGGAGCGTTAGTCTAAGGAACGTCACCACTGTTAGTCGTGTCAGACAGCCAGTGTGGTGTAGTGGTTAGAGTGGCCAGAATAGGGTCTGGGAAACCCAGGTTTGAATCCCTGCTCTGCTATGGAAGCAGGCTGGGTGTCCATGGGTCCGTCATGCACTCTCATCCTAAGCTACCTCACAAGGTTGTTGGGAGAATAAAATGGAGGAGAGGAGAATGGGGGGTGGATTGTGGAGAAAGGCAGGGTATAAATGAACTAATTAAATAAATAAAACCTTGAAGGCATTATGTCCATGTAATGTCAGGTGGGGATGTGAAACGGTGTGGTTTAACCCGATTTCTTCAGATCTCGGAAGCTAAGGGGGTTGGTACTTAGAAGAGGGCAGGGCTTTTTTTATAGAAAAAGCCCAGCAGGAACCCATTAGCATAATAGGCCATACCCAACAGCAGGAACTCATTAGCATATTAGGCCACAGGAAGCCAATGGCAAACCATCTCTGCTTCTCAGTTGCCTTGAAAGCCCCTTGCTGAGGTCACCAGAAGTTGGCTGTGGCTTGACGGCACGTCATGTACATAATGTCAGGTGGCTGTAGAAGATACTACAGAACTGGCCTAAGCAGAGCCAAACGGTCTGCTTTGTCACACCAAGGACAAAAGTCAGAAGACCAAATCACGCAGGAATCAATCTGGCATTTACCACAAACAGGTTTATGGCTCTTGATGCTCCTCTGACATCTCCGAATGGGTTTTGCCACATTTCTGACCAACCTTTCCCTTGAGAAGTAACCTCTAGGCAGCTGGTCACAGCCAAAACAGAGATTTAGGAAGGCAGTGTGGGAGCATCCCAGGAAGGCTGGACTTAAGTAGTAGGTAACTGGATGCCGAGAAGCTGTGACGCAAGCATCCCCAGGGCATGGTTTTGCCAAGATTTATGACTATAGTTTCCCCCTGAAGAAGTGGGCAGGAGATTGAGTGCTTTACTTTCTTTACCCAGCCTCTCTCCTAGTTGAATTGTCAAAGGCATCGGCCCTGCTGTCCTCAAAGAGATCTGAATTGGACTTAATGCTATTCTTTGTTACTGCTTTATAAGGATCTGCTAGTGTAGGGATCCCCAGACTTTTTGAGCACCTTTGGCATTCTGAAACAGTCACTGATACAAAATGGCTGCTGGAGGAGGTGGCGCCAGTCACAAAATGGCTGCCACAGCTTTTCTTCAGTCATGCAATGGAGGTCCTTGTGCTGTGGTGGCGGCTACTGACAAAGCAATGTTCTAAAAAATCTACATAGCCCCCGGTCACACGGGAGGTTTAGGGCCGGAAGAGGGACGGATCGGGGGCGCAGCAAACGGGCGCAATCCCACCGCAACATCTGGGAAGCGGCGCGCACCTGTCCCTGATCTGGCCCTTCAGGCCGAAAATCCGCAGGGAAAACAAACCACCTACAGAGGTGGACTTACCAGAAAGGCCGTGGCAAGCGCAGCCGTGGGATCGCCAGGACGTCCTTCTGCCAGCGCATCCGAGGCTCCTGGCCGAACTGCGCATGCGCACACATGCGCAGCCGGCTGCCTCGGTCTCCCGTCGGTGGCTTCCTCCCCGGCATCTGATCGTGCCGGGGAGCAACGGCGCGGCGGCTCAGGGGATCTGTGTGATCCCGCCGCCGCGTGTCTCTTTTGGTGCGGCTCTGAATAGCCGCACTTTGGCCGTGTTTTTTTCTGCCGTGTGGCAGGGGCCATAGACAATCAAAACTCCAGTGGTCAATCAGACACCTTGCTGGGCAAAAGCCCCATCTGGCCCCATCAGCTTTCTAAAAAATGCTTGATGGACACCAGGAAAGGTGTTGGCAGGCACTGTGGCACTTATGGGCACCCTGTTGGGGACCCCCATGCCAGAGCGGGAGCCATGTAAGTAGCAGCAAAATGAAACAAGTATCCATATCCACTGGTACCTTGAATGCTAACAAAATTTATTTCAGCATAAGCCTTTGTGAGTCGGTGCACACTTGATAACATTCATGGATTTTTCATCCATTAGACAAATAGATTTTTGCAGAAAGCTTCAGACAATAGAAAGGCAGGACAAAGGAAATGTTACATAAAGAGATGTTTTAAACCGTTCACATGTTGGCAAAAGTAGGATAAACATAAAATCAGATGTAATCTGGGAAAGTACAAGATGAAATATGATAAATATCCAGTTAAAAAGGTAAAGGTTCCCTTGCTCGAAAGCCAGTTGAATCCGACTCTAGGGTTGCGGTGGTCATCTCTGTTTCAAAGCCGAAGAGCCAGCGCTGTCCGAAGATGTTTCCGTGGTCATGTGGTTGGCATGACTAAACACCAAGGTGCACGGAACGCTGTTACCTTCCCACCGAAGTGGTACCTATTTATCTACTTGCAATTTCTTGCTTTCGAACTGCTAGGTTGGCAGGAGCTGGAACTAGAGACGGGAGCTCACTCCGTCATGCGGCACACCCGGGTCTCGAACTGCTGAACTACCGACCTTCCACAGCCTGCAGTTCCGCGTCTTAACCACTTGAGCCACCGCATCCAGTTAGACAAATACAAATGTTTTGATAGGAAAAAAATTAACATCTGCAAAGGTGGGATAGGCTAAGATATTAGCACCCATAGTGAGTGGGAGGGGCCATGGCTCAGTACTAGAGGATTTGCTCGTCATGCAGAAAGTCCCACTTTCAATCCTTCACATCTCCAGTTAAAATGATCCAGGAATACCTGATGTGAGACACTGGACAGCCCCTGCCAGTCTAAGTAGACAATACTGACTTTGACAGACCTATGGTCTGATTCAGTATAAGGCAATGTCATGTGTCCATGAGTGAGAAACCCCACGTCCTTGTTCAGACCTGGAGGGGTGATAGTATTGAACACCTTGATAAATTCTAAATCAGCCATACCACATTGGATCTTCCCTTTGAAAGTTTAAAAAAAAAAAAATCTTCAGATACCAGAAAACACAGCTGGTCTAAGCTAAACTTTCACTTCATGGCATGTAGATTTTGAAAACTATTAACTTCCTCTGTTTTTTTTTAATACGCTGAGTCTTCAGCCTGGGGAAAATAGGGATGTGGTTTATCCACCATTGAAGGGTGTTGACTCCTTCCTTCGATCATACAGACACTGGAGGCATTATGGGTAATGATGACTTTGCCACAGAGCGCTGCTGTATTCCCGAAGCTGCACCCATCAGCTGAGATCATTATTCAGAGGACACCAGAGCAAGGACACTGCTGCACACAGAAGGTTCTCCATGAGGCTCTCCGTGGCCATCACCTTTCTTGGTTGGTATTGCAGATGGGCAGTCAGTAGCACACAGAAGGTTCTCCTCCATGAGGTTCTCCGTGGCCATCACCTTCCTTGGTTGGTATTGCAGATGGGCAGTCAGTGAGATCAGAGGGTTTGTAACAGCAGGGTGGCTGAGTGGAGGTGGAGGGGAAACCAGAGACCTAGCATCAGTTCCCATTCAGATACTTTGCCACTAATGGAACCATCTCCTTTCCAGGGTGGTGGATGGCTGGTCGATGGGTGATATCTAGAGGTGAGTATCTGTTGACAAAAGTTTATCAGGAATGCAGACAGAGTGGGAGTTAAATGCCATAGCCTCCCCCAGCCTAATTTGCTTTTTCTTCCCCATTCACAACCAGTTGTGCTTGTCAAATGATCCTAGAGGATACCAGTAGCTCCATCAATGTTCCCTCTAAGCTGTAGAGTCCTGTGAGCAAAAAATTCTACTTTGTGAGCTACCGGCATTAAAGTTCTGAGCAGGTGATTTGCAGATGATACTGCATTAAATTAGTGTGTTCTGGAGCCATCCTTCCTGAGCTGAGACAAAAATGTGTGAGCCAGAGGCTAAAAAACTGTGAGGATACCAGTAGCTCCATCCTCATTTGCTTCTGGCTAACTTATGTGAGTCTTGGTTTCCCCCGCTGTAAATGGAGACTAATCTTCCCAGGTGCTGCCTTCAGAACTTGTGGGTCTCTCCGATGGACCTGTGGCTTCTTCTAGTGACGGTTGTAACAACAAGAAAATAGTACTGCCAATGAGTACGGCATGAGGGGGAACTAGGGTTGCAGGTTTTATGGAAATACCAACTTTTCAAGTGCCCTCTATCACTTTTAACCACAGTTTTGTCTGCAGCATTTAGCATAGGATACTTTCCAGCCCGCTGTCCAATGCCTCACATGCTGATTCCTGAATACAAAACTATTTCTAAGACACAAGAGAAGGCCAGATAAGTTTCATTCCTGGTTTGCTGGTGATCCCATGGCTTTCCCCCTTCATTCATCACAGCTCCTACTGATCTTGCTAATCCAGCAGTCAGCACGGGAATCAGCACAAGCCCTGAGTGGACTGTGGGTGTCTGGCATGCAGATTCCCACTGATTGAAGGCATGGGTCATTCACTAAATCCCCCACCTGGGCTCATTTCTTGGTGTAAAGGAAGGGCAGGCAGCTGGCGCCATAGCATCTCAGTCCCAAATCTACAGGCTTCCCATCTAGTCCCCAGCACAGCAACCAAACCCCCCCAGTTCTGTGCCACGGCCTCCTCCTCGTGGGTGATATCTAGAGGTGAGTAATGCAGACAGAGTGGGAGTTAAATGCCCATAGCCTCCCCCAGCCTAATTTGCTTTTTCTTCCACATTCACAACCAGTTGTGCTTGTCAAATGATCCTTGAGGATACCAGTAGCTCCATCCTCATTTGCTTCTGGCTAACTTATGTGAGTCTTGGTTTCCCCCGCTGTAAATGGAGACTAATCTTCCCAGGTGCTGCCTTCAGAACTTGTGGGTCTCTCCGATGGACCTGTGGCTTCTTCTACTGACGGTTGTAACAACAAGAAAATACTACTGCCAATGAGTACGGCATGAGGGGGAACTAGGGTTGCAGGTTTTATGGAAATACCAACTTTTCAAGTGCCCTCTATCACTTTTAACCACAGTTTTGTCTGCAGCATTTAGCATAGGATACTTTCCAGCCCGCTGTCCAATGCCTCACATGCTGATTCCTGAATACAAAACTATTTCTAAGACACAAGAGAAGGCCAGATAAGTTTCATTCCTGGTTTGCTGGTGATCCCATGGCTTTCCCCCTTCATTCATCACAGCTCCTACTGATCTTGCTAATCCAGCAGTCAGCACGGGAATCAGCACAAGCCCTGAGTGGACTGTGGGTGTCTGGCATGCAGATTCCCACAGCAGTTTCTGTCAAGAGTTCTCTCAGCCCCACCTACCTCCCAGGGTGTCTGTTGTGGGGAGGGGAAGGGAAAGGAGTTTGTAAGCCGCTCTGAGACACCTTTGGGGTAGTGAAGGGCGGGGTATAAATCCAATCTCCTCCTCCTCCTCCAGTGTGAACTGGAACAGAGATTTTGTAATACAAGCAGGCAGATCTTCCTTCTCCTTCTTCCAGGTTGTTGCTGATGCAGTGTAATGAGCAGGTGATCTGCCTGAAGGGAGAATTCAAAGAGACTCCCCTGTGGCTGTTTTCCTCTCTCTTGACTCAGGGCCCAACTAGATGTCATGGGGTCCACAGCTGCAGGGGCTGTTTCGGCACCTAAATGATGCTAGGGAAGGCAACAGGACTGCATGGTCCCACCGCACCATGAATCAGGATCAGTCCCTCGCGGCAATTTTTAAATGGCCCAAGTCCAGCTCTAAGACAGCAGTGGCATCCACAGGTCCCACCCGGGGATGCCATAATGTCTAGTTTGGCCCTCGCAAGGGAGTCAGTCAGTGAGCAGAGCTGATATGGCTCACCTTTCAGTACTTTATCAGTTCAGAATATGACCCCTATTAAAAAAAAATTCTGTTGATAAGGAGACATTTAAAGAAATTAGGAGTAAGCTAATTAAAAATTGCTCAGTTGGCCAGTGTATAAAAAAAGAGAGAGACGGTCCCTGCCACACGGGGGGGGGGGGGGGTATGGGCAAAGTGTGGCTTTTTAAAGCCACACCAAAAGAAACACGAGGCACCAGGATCACATTGATCCCCTGAGCCGCGGCGCGTTCCCTCCACGGCACGATCAGATGCCAGGGGAAGCCACGGTGGGGAAAGGGAGGCTGCCGAACTGCGCATGTGTGAGCATGCGCAGTTCAGCCAGGACCCTGGGATGAGCCGGCAGAAGGACGCGTTGGCGATCCCACGGCCGGGCTTGATGCGGCCATGCTGGAAGGTCCACCTCGGTAGGTGGTGTATTTTTGCTGCGGCTTTTCGGGCGGAAGGGCCGGATCGGGGACAGGTGCGCAACGCTTCCCAAATGTTGCGGTGGGATCGCGCCCGTTTGCTGCGCCCCCGATCCGTCCCTCTCCCGGCCCAAAACCTTTCGTGTGACCAGGGCCGATTAATCACAATGAGATGTGCTGAAGACTTCCCAATGAACGGGCTCAGCAAGCAAACATACCTTTGTCCGGATTTCCTTGATGACATCCGAGCTGAGCTGAGCTCTTGATTAGATTCCCTTAGTGTCCTGGGGAAAAGATTTTTCCTGAGTACACTCTCAGCAGTTCTGCACCAGTACAGTAGCAGTGTGGTCTGGTTCAAAAACTAAACCATTGCATTTACCAGAGTGATAGATGAAGATGGGTATCCGTGTTAGTCTGACTTTGGCAGGTCCAAATCTTTAGCTGTTCTTGTTGTCTTTCTTTTGCAGAACTGCCTTATCCAAAGCCTTCTGTTTCTATCAGTTCCAGTGAGGTAGTTACACAGGGAGGAAATATCACCATCCATTGTAAGAATGAAAGCCCACCACAAGCTGAATTTTCTCTGAACAAACAAGAGGGCTCCTCTTTACACCGTCTATGTATAAAGAAGGCAGAGCAAAATGAGGTTATATTTACTATTTCCAGTGCCCATCAATCAAATGCAGGGATCTACCGGTGTATATATTGCTTAAAAATAAACGCTGCATATGAGAAATGTTCGGATTACAGCGATGAAGTCCATATCAATGTAAGAGGTGAGAACCTATCCTGGTCCTCATATACATTTTTCATAAATCATACTAAACTACGTGTTGTATTTCAAATGGAAAAGCTACACTGGCAAAATATACTTTGGATTTTAACAGTTAATCTCTCATTTTATGTGCTACTTCAATATCCCTAGCAACATTCTTCAGTGTGGCTGAGTATATTGGGTAAAACACCAAGCAATATGACACCAAGGATTTTTCCTAGACCCCAGCCTCTCCATCAGGGTGAGACTCACAATGTACTCTAGCCACAGAACATTATTTATGAGTTTACCCATATCCAGGGCTATTTTTGGGCAGGAACGCACAGGAACGGAGTTCCGGCTGGCTTCCAAGTTGGCCACACCCAGCAGGAACTCATTAGCATAATAGGCCACACCCAACAGCAAAAACTCATTAGGGTTGGCTACATTAGGGGTGTGTGGCCTAACATGCAAAGGAGTTCCTGCTACAAAAAAGCCCTGGGTGTTGGCAACAAACAAGGTAAACAGAATAAGAAGCAAAAGGTGGGTGTGGCTGGATGAGCACACTTCTGGTAACATGGGGGTGTGGCCTAATATGCCAATGAGCTGTGCTGTCAGGGGTGTGGCCTATTATGCTAATAAGTTCCTGCTGGGCTTTTTCCACCAAAAAAGCCCTTATGACATAGATTGCAACCAAGGAGCCAAGGTTTTTCAAGGCAAGAGGCATTCAGAGGTGGTTTGCCATTGCCTGCCTCCGCACCACACCCCTGGTATTCCTTGAAAGTTTCCCATCCAAATACTAGCCAGGGCCGGCCCTGCTTTGATTCCAAGATCTGACAAGATTGGGCTAGCCTGGGCTATCCAGGTCACGGCTGACCTCCTGCTAGCACTATTAATTTCAGGTAGTTTTGCAGAAGTACACATTGCTTCAGGGGTGGGAATGTGCTGATTTCACCTAAAGGATACAAGAGGGGCCGGGTCTTAAGAACAAGAAAGAAATAAGATGCAAGTTTTGTTGTTTGGTTTCACAGTCTCAATTTTATCCAAAATATACAGAGAGTTTTTGTGAATAAGTGACCCCAAAAGACTATAGCCACATTTCCCATTATATTATTGGCCTGCAGATATCCCATCACCTTTTTTTCTGCAGTCTAGACTAATGATTTGCTCCACATCCTTTCTCAACATTGAGTTCTTAACTCTTTTTTTTAAGTACCCATAAGGCACACTCTTATTATTTTTCATATTATACACCAACAAACAAACATACTACATAACAAACATCCACTTACACACATAAAACATACAAAGAGATCAGTATATTTTCTTATAACTCTATTACCATATTTAAAGAATTTCTATAAATTTGCTTAAGTTTTCTGTATACTCTTATCGTTTCATTACCATAGTTTCTATTTAACTTAAAAAGATTAATAATACCAAAAATTTCATTACGTTAAGCTATGCATTTATGTTGTACCAATCATACAGTTTTTTCCACGTCTTTTGAAATGTTAACTCTCTATACACCTGTCAGTGAAACAAGTAATGCAGAAAGTCTTTGGCATTCCATACATGAAAACTTTTGTTCATAACCTTAATGGCTGGAAACAGCCATCCATACCCTAACTGTGTTGTTCCTTCCCCCAGATCCCAAGCTTGCCAAACCTTCCATCAAGGTGAGACACAGAGGACCGCTTGCCTCAGGCCTGAATGTCACCATTGAGTGCCAGGGACCAGGGAATGGTCTGAACTTCTCCTTATACGAATCCAAGGTTCTGAGAGCATCACAGGTGACACAGCCAAATGGAGATAGAGCAGAATTTTCTTTCTTCATAGAAAGGATGGAGAAAGCTACTAGTTATGCCTGCCAATACAACCGCAAAGAAAATCCCTTTGTCTGGTCAGAGCCAAGTGAGACCGTAGAGCTTGTAGGACGAGACAAGGACTCAGGTTTGAAGCTTTTCATATATCTGTCTCAAAGCAAACAATGCATTTTGTCTTATTTCCCCTTTATAGTAAGTTAACTTGTGGTTAGAAATGTCATAGTCCCATCTTTTTATATCAGTCCATTGTTAATGGAGGATTTCTTGATTTCTATGCAACAACGATACACATCCTTGTTACCATCACCAAAACTATAACTAATTCTGGACCACTGAGTCCTATATAGTCCTTTAAGAAGCTTTTAAAAAGTACTTTAAGTTCCTTTGACAATTTGTATGAACAATAACTCTAATCAATAACCATTCTTGTTCCCTAAAAGGTCTAGTTAATGAGCATCACCAAAACATATGAATAAAATCTGCATTCACAGCTTGACAGCACTAGCATTCTGCATTCTCCAGATTATAAATATGCTTAAGTTTCAAATGCATTAAATAACAGTTTTAACTGTAATATATAAATGTTGGAATATGCAAGGTCTATTGTGTATAGATAAAGAAAATTACAAGAACATCCTGTAGGGGGCAGCAGAGAGGACACCCAGTTATCATAGTGAGATTAGGGACTATCTACTATTTTCAAATACTCTTCTTCCTGTCTCCTGATCAGCTCAGTTGGGGTTTTTCCTGCTCCTGCTGAGATCTCTTCCTGACTCTCTCCTAGCTAGTTAAACAGTTAGACTTCTCTTTCTCTCTTTCTTACAAAGTTTATTCTCATCTTAATAAACTGACTTTATTATTTAAACAGCTTGCACTCCACTTTACTGCATATCTATACTCTGCCAACAATAAAAACTCTTTCATAGAAGTATAAATATTAATTATATTTTTATCTGTATTTCCCTAAACATAGTCCCATCCTTTTTGCAAGATCTTTTCGCAATATCTTTTTCTCCTTTACTCTTAGTCTTGCTCCTTGGGGCCAAACTACATGCTGTGTTTTACACGAGTTCCCAATGAGGACCTCTATAGCTATATTGCAATCCCTGGTGGCGACTCTGTGTAAAAGCTCCATGGGGGCTCAATTCAAATTGGGGCCACAGAGCAGGGGGAGGGGTTCCTCCTGTGCTATCATCCTGATACAAATGAGGCCCCCCGCAGGGCTTTCATGTGCAGTTGCCACCCGAGACTCACAGCTGCACTATGGCTGTCGGTCCCCATTGGGAACTTGTATAAAACATAATGTATAGTTTGACCTTTAACTGGTAAATTATTTAGTAAAGGTAAAGGTTCCCTTGCTCGAAAGCCAGTCGAATCCGACTCTAGGGTTGCGGTGCTCATCTCCGTTTCAAAGCCGAAGAGCCAGCGCTGTCCGAAGACATTTCCGTGGTCATGTGGCCGGCATGACTAAACACCAAGGCGCACGGAACGCTGTTACCTTCCCACTGAAGTGGTACCTATTTATCTACTTGCAATTTCTTGCTTTCGAACTGCTAGGTTGGCAGGAGCTGGAACTAGAGATGGGAGCTCACTCCATTATTATTTAAATTATTTAAAAGCCCATAAATTTCTCCAACATCGCCTTTGCCTATAGACCTTCCTACTATCAGTTCAAAACTTCATTTTTGTTCAGCCCAATACACACATACTTCAAGGTTTCTGCATAATAGGAAGCTTTTTTCCCTCCCCTTCAAAGTCCCTGCATATGATGTGGGATTATGGCTGTTCAAGCCAGACAGTTCCATGGGGACCTAGAGACACATTGCAGACAATCAAAAAATTGCATGCTTAGATTCCATATGCACCCCTTTAGTAAAAGCGAGGTTGGGTTAGAACGGATAAAAGGAAGTACTTCTTCACCCAAAGAGTGATTAACACTTGGAATTCACTGCCACAGGAAGTGGTGGTGGCTACATGCATGGAGGGCTTCAAAATAGATAAGCATATAGAGCAGAGGTCCATCAGTGGCTATTAGCCACAACGTATAGATAGGGGCTCTGGGGCAAGTGATGCTCTGTCATCTTGGTGCTGGGGGCGGTCAACAGTGGGAGGGCTTCTTATGTCCTGGCCCCACTGGTGGACCTCCTGATGGCACTGGTATTTCTGGCCACTGTTAGTGATACAGAGTGTTGGACTGGATGGGCCTTTGGCCTGATCCAACATTGGCGTCTCTTATGTTCTTATGTTCTTATGATCTGGGAGACCCAGGTTCAAATCCCCACTGTGCCATGGAAGCTTGCTGGGAGACATTAGGCCAGTCACACGCTCTCGGCCTCACCTACCTGACAGGGTAGGACAGTGGTGGCGAACCTTTTAGAGACCGAGTGCCCAAACTGTGACCCAAAACCCACTTCTTTATCGCAAAGTGCCAACGCGGCAATTTAACCTGAATACTGAGGTTTTACTTTAGAAAAAACAACTCACACATTAACTTAAGATGATCCAAACAAAGTAAGGAAAGCAATCCCAAATGCTTTCATTTACTTAAAATTATTTGGCAGAGAATTTGACACTTTAATGATGGTCTGGGCCTGGCTGGGGCAATGGCACAGAGAAGGCTCTGAGTGCCACCTCTGGCACCTGTGCCATAGGTTCGCCACCACTGGGGTAGAAGGAGAGGAGAATGACGTAAGCCACTCTTGAGTCCCTACCGGGAATACAGCAAATAAATAAATGAAGTAAATAAATAAATAGCACAACATGTATACATAATGAAAAACTGCCTACTTTGTATCATTTTTCTTATGCTGCTACCTATGGGGAAAGTTAAAATTTAAGCAGGGTGCTGGGTTCAGTTCTCCCTTTAACAGAGCCTTTATTAACAGAGCCTCTTACCTCTTACCTCTTACCTCACCTCCAAAAATACATGCTTGCAATCTGATCTTCCCAGCACTAAGGACTAGAAACCCCTGCCCCCCCCCAAAGGAAAACTGTACCAATTCCCGTCCTTTTGCAGAGCAATCACAACACATGCAGCCCTCAGTGACATAAAGCAAGGATAATCCCGCAGAGAGGAATCCCTAAACCTGTAGGTCTGCAATTGCACTGCGCTGCAGGGACAGCAGGGCTTTTTTTGTACAAAAAACCCAGCAGGAGCTCATTAGCATAATAGGCCACACCCCTGAAAGTGCAGCTCATTACCATATTAGCACACCCATGCCTTCCCTTGGCTTGCCCAGGTGCCCCACGGCTGCGGAGAGCCCAGGCAAGCTGGCCCTTGGACAGGCCAGGGTAGGCATAGGGAGGCATTTAAATGCCTCCCCAATCCTTCCAGGCCCCCCCCTGGCCTGCCCGCCTCAGAGTCGCTGGAGGGGGGGTGTCGCTCTCCAGGCCTTCCCTCTGTAGCCAGGCACGTGGAGGTTTTGGCTGTAGTGGGCGTGGCCAACTCTGAAGCCAGCCGGAACTCCGTTCCTGTGCGTTCCTGCCCAAAAATAGCCCTGAGGGACAGTAAATAATTAGGGAACTATGGGAAAGGGAGCAGATCACCGGTAGAGCTCATGCTTTATTTAGACAGAGCACACGGCTAAGGCAGTCGATGAATGTCAAGGGTCCCCTTCATGACAGCCGCTTCCCCAGACCCCAGAAGGCTACCACAAGGTCCCCAAAGTAACCACACGGGAAGAGGCAAGCATGTGATCTTTCCGACAGGGATCATTGCTCTCTCGTTGGGGTTCGGGACATTTTCCTGCCCCACCTTCCACTTGCGCTGCTTGCCGGCTCTCCCCCGAGCATTTGGGCACCCCCTGCAGGCACACTTTCACTGCCCCCTCCCTTCAACCCCCCTCCCGGACTTTAGACTGGCAGCCAAAGCAGCTAATCATTCATTCTTGCCCTCTCTCTCCCCTGGCCCTCTTTTCAAATAGCGTGGCAAGCTGTGAATGCCTTAGAGGGCTTCCCCAAACTCTAGAAAGGTTCCTTCCTCTTGCAAGAGTTCAGCCATCCTTTCGGTTGTCCTGGCAACCCTGCCAATTATAGTGGTTGCTCAGGCAACCAAAAGGCCCAACTCTTCCAAGCGGAAGGAATCTCCCAAGAATTCGGGAAGCCCTCTGTGGCATGGGTCGGGTAGAGCTGCCAACCCAGGTAGGGCCTGGAAATCTCTGGCTTTGAGAACTCATTTCCAGACTACAGAGATCAGCTATTCCCTATGAGAAATCCCCCTCCCCAAGTCGGCACGAGAACCAGTACAGAACCTGTAGTGTATTCAAAGCTGCCTTGAATGCATGATATGTTGTGAAACACCTAATTGAAGTGTAATGTAAAGCTTCGTCCTGGGCTAGGATCCAAATCCATCCAATCGTGTTACTAGCCCAGGAAGCACCTAACCAATCACTTTCATGCAAGACCCTGAGCGGGAACATCCGTGATGGTTCTTATGTGAACAACCTTATTGGTTGGTAATTGTACAGTGGGTGTGGCTACATTAGCCGGGAATGTTTAAAAGCAGGACAGCTGCAATGTAAAGGCTGTTCTGGCTATCAGATGTTGATCCGTGTTGGAGTTGTGTTCGAATTGAAGAATAAAGTTGTGTTCTTGCTGGATCACTCTCCGATTTCATTGTTAAGCGAGCGACTTAACAGAAACTAAATAATGTACAAGCACCTGCTCTTTCTCCCTCCCAGACCTAATAGGAGCTCAAGCAGTGGAGGGATTGTTCTCAGGAAAATAGCAAGAGAGAACTCCCCAGTGCCACAACCTGCTCCCCTTCTTGGTTGCTTTTCGAGCTTTAACATCCTTGGTGAAACAGCCAATCACAGTTCTCCAACATCATGAGTCCTTTGGCCCTCAAGCATGCCTAAATGAGGGGTGGTACAGTCCTCCCAAAGGCAGTTTGTCATCTCTAGTCTCGCATAGGAAAGAGTTCTTAAAAGAAAACCCACGTGGAAGTTTGCCAGGTGACAAAAATTTATGACACAGAGAGAGAGAGAAATGGGGGGAAGATTTTGAAAATCTGAAGCAAGTTTCTAGTGCTTTTGGTTGTCAAGATACACTTGAAGAGATGTAAGTAGCCCCTGGTGAAATTTCAAAAGTTGTGGGTGGTCAGAGAGAAGGAGCTTTCGTGTTCTGCATAACTCTGAAGCGGAAGCATGCAAAATAAGGAGAACAAACAGAAGAAACAATGGGAAAAAAAGAAGTATATATGTATGAAGCAGGGGTCATTTCCTGCGGGAGTGCACAGGAGCCGAGCTCCGGCAGTAAGGAGCCCAGGGGGCGGGCACATGCAACAAGCCCTGCCCGCTGCTCCAAGCAACCCTCAGTCAAGCCACGAGGAGCAAGAAACAGCCATGAATTTCCAGACCCCCCCCCCCCAGCCTGTCTTCAAGTACAAGCTCTCCCTCCTCTGTGAGGGCAGATCTGTGCATCCCCCCCCAATAGCTAGCAATCCAAAACAGTCCAGTGGAGCCTGAGCGGTGGGTGTTGCCTTCTGACACACTTCCGGTGATGTCAGGGGGTGTGGTGTATGCAAATAAATTATGCGAATAAGTTATGCTAATGAGTTCCTGCACTTCTTTTCCTACGAAATGACCCCTGGTATGAAGTGGCTTCCTTTATTAATACTGCTGTAATCCAGTGGTATATTTGGCTATCTGCATGCAAAATTAGTATAGTAAACACAGCAGAACAGCTATCAAGCAAAAGGCTCCCTCCATTAAAAAAAGGCTGTTTGGGAGTTAGAAAACACTGGGAAGGAGAGTGCTGTGTTGACAGTTCTCGGGTGCGTTCAGACGGCTCTTTATATACGTGCGAGGCACAGGTGTCTCATGGATTTCAATGTAATGTCTAGACATCAACATCTGGGAAACGTCCATCTTCCGTGAGTATCCCGTTTTGCCGCGCTTGGGAGCCGTACTAAAAAGATACTACTTTAAATCTAGAGTTTTCGGCTCCGACGGGCCACTCGTGGACTTTCCCCCGTCTGATCATTCCAGCGCGCAATTAATTTTTTTAAAAAAATCTTGATTCCGCGCATGCACGAATAACCGAGGATGCAATATCATGCCTATGCGCATGTGCAAACTTTTGGTTTTTTAAAAACAAGCCACCGCACGCGCACCTCATTCAGTAGGTGCCATCTAGACAATCCATCTAGACAGCGGAAGCAGCGCACGGTAAGGCGATTCCCCTTGGGGATGTCTGCTCGTGCGAGGATGAACTAAAAAGATCGGGATCTAATTTGAGCCGGCATAATGGTGGGATTAGCTGTCCGTCTGAACGCACCCCTCGTTTGCAGCGTACCAGGAGGACAATATCTCACAGATTCTCTCTGATCTACAGGCTCCACTGCCAAGGAAAGAAATCAACCAGCCAACTGGGGAAAGAGCCCTGCCACTCTTTGACTTTGAAGTTCCCGCGAACACTTTAGCCATGTATTCTAATCCCTGACATGTCAGCATGTCAGCTCAAAATCCTCCTTGTTTCTGGCGATGGCCACAGTGATAAAAGACTCGAGGCTTAAGTCTGAACTCCTGATATGAAATTGAAAGTCATCTTTGGCTGTTGTGCTGTACGGACACCCAGCGGGAGACAGCGCTGATGCTGTGTCTTTATACTGAAAGCCCTCTGTGCTTAACATTTGCAGACGGGAGTGGAAACTAGATAAATGAAATGCCAGAAGTGTCAATAAGAACTGTGTTTAGACTATACCTCCTTAGGAATGGCCGTTATACCACTTGCAGTGGGAAGACTGTTTGACAACTTTTTATACTAGAAGGCTACTCTGAATGGGGGTGGGGATGCGATGTACCTGTGCACCACTTCAGCTGGTCAAGTGGCAACTTCCAGTGTCACTCTCTTCTGTACTAAAGTGGCTTTCCAGATTTTTAGTATTGTAAGGGTTATATAGGGAGCTGCGGTGGCTCAAGTGGTTAAGACGCTGAACTGCAGGCTGTGGAAGGTCGGTCGTTCAGCAGTTCGAGACTCAAGTGTGCCGCATGACGGAGTGAGCTCCCGTCTCTAGTTCCAGCTCCTGCCAACCTAGCAGTTCGAAAGCAAGAAATTGCAAGTAGATAAATAGGTACCATTTCAGTGGGAAGGTAACAGCATTCCGTG